ATATATATACACACACACACACACACACACACACACACACACACACACACACACACACACACACACACACACAGAGGATCTCAAAAAAGTTGAGAATAGGTCTTGAAAAATATAAGTTTTATAGAAAAGTGTTTCAGACAAAAATTGGGTTCAAAAAAATCTATTTTGATCTTATCAGTTTGACCTTGGATGGCATCGCCAAAGTCAGATCAAGATCACATCGATTTTTTTTTAATGCATACCCTATTTTTGATTTCAGAATTTAATAACTGTCAAAAGCTTTTCAAAACACTACAATAAAGTTATTTTTTATAAAGTACTTTTCAAGTTATAAGATTTGAAAATTACAATGACCTTTATTCTAACGAATGTTATTCAGGATAAGGTCCTGAGCTTTTAACCGTCGGGCAAACATCTTGCGTAATGCTAATGCCGGCGGTACTTATTGTAACTTTCAAGCTCTTGATCTGTAACTTTGACCTGACCTTGGCGACGCCACCCAAGGTCAAACTGATAAGATCAATAAATAGATCTTTTTTAAGCCTACAACTTTTATCTGAAGCACTTTTCTGTAAAACTTATTTTTTCTGATATTCAGGTGTCCCTTTTTGAGGACGTAATTAATATGTAATTCAACTTATTGAACATTTGATTGAATCCTGACCAAAACGATCGAACAATGATTGAGCAACGATCTGAACAAACGCGAATGACTAATTTTCTTCAATGAGTATGAATGATGCAAATTCATATTTATTTGCTTGATCTAGAGTAGTCTAGACCCGACTTAAGAAGCATTTATTATTTAATGATCGAGTTTAGCTCAGCATTCATTCGAATTGTTTTTGCTTCGCGCAGAAAATTACTATCAAATGGCTCTGTTTAACTAGAGAATCTGTTTGCTTATTTAATTATAGGTACAATCGGCGGCGACTTTACTACTCGAGAGTAAAATGTTCTACGTTCCTTTCTTATTGAACTCAGCAATTCAAAGATAGTAAATAAATAAAATGACGATGAATGAAGCTGAATACCTATATACATGCTATATATATGTTATAAAAATATATACAGAAAAAGTAAAAGAAGCGAACAAACGGACAAACAACAAACGAACGAAAAAAAGAAAAAAATTCAATGAAAAACAAAGAGAAATGATTCAAGTCGAACAGGGAAAGGCTTTGTTGCGTATGTATAAAAAATATATAAAAGCATATATATATATATATATATATGTGTGTGTGTATGTATATATATATATATATATAAAATGTTATACTTCGATATTTATGAGATTTATTGATCATCGTAATTTGATTACTTTCCACAATTGCCTGAAAGGAAATACAATGTTCAAATTTTATACATTAAATATTGATCAATACTTGTCGAAACTATATTATACTTATTATA